AACTAAAAATACTTCGTCCTAACAATTTGTCTGAATTGGCAATTATTGTAAACCTTTTGCAAATGTATTAATACGGAGAGACTTGTACATGCATGCTATGTAGTACAACGTGAGAACTATTCGCGCACTGTGCACTCAAAAATTCTCACGCACAGTGCGTGGCACATCTCTAACTATAATAATCAAACTCTTGTCATAACGGATTTTTAAAAATTTTTCCTTTGTATATCACATATAAAATTTCGTTGTGGCAAGATTAATATTAGTATTTAGTAATCTTGTCACAACTACAACAGATTTTAAATAAAATTTGTTGTGTACCATTCATCCGCTGTGGCAAGGTTTGACTATATTGTGGAATTAACTCACGCTGTATATGATTGAAGATATTTAATACTACTATACTAATAATACTAATAATAATAATGCACCACAGGATAATATAGAAGTATAATATGATAATAAGGGTTTTTCTGATAACAAAGTAGTATTACGACCTGTTACGACCTTTAATTATAGTAATCGTAATAAATAGGGCTGACAGCATAATACGTGGGGCATTTGAAAAGTTTTGTCACTGGCCCTGTAAAATGACAATCTTATGTGTAGCTTTGTACAGATTTTTTTTTAAATGAAATTAGTCGTTTTTGTCTATTAAATAAAAAAAAAATTATTAAATTTAGTTATTAATTATAAAGCTATTGACATTTAAAAATTTGCTAAAAAAACAAATGGAAAATTTTAATTGTGAACATCAATGTTACTACATTTTTGTAAGCTGGAAAAATGGTAAGAGTGCAAATCAAATCCATATGGAATTGCAGGTTGCTGAAGGACCTAAAGCACTAAGTATTTGTAGTATTTATCGCTGGATTGAATCATTTGAAAGTGGTGATGAAAACATTAAAGATGATTCACGTTCTGGATGCCCAAAAGAAATTGTCACCCCAAAAAATTGTTGCAGAAATTGAAGAACTTATTGTTGAAGACCCACATATATCAATTAAAACATTAAAGGAATTAATGGGTATTTCTACTGAGAGAATTCATTATATTTTGCATAATGAATTGGAAGTTTCAAAAGTATGTGCA